GGGGGGAGGAGGAGCAGGAGGAGGAGGGAGGGAGGAAGGAGGGCAGGAAGGGAGAAACAAATATAAAATATCGCCTGCAACCCGTCAGGTTGCCCTGGAAGCTGACAAGGCCATGAACTACCACGTGCCCCTCGCCTGCACAGGTTTGCCCAAGAAGGGCCGACGTGACATGCACCACTGCGGCTGGCCGTGCAATAGGAATGACCGGAGGAGGAGGAGAAAGACGACGACGACGACGAGGAAGAGGAGGACCTACCGCACCACCACAGGGGCGCAAGAGATAACAAAAAAAAAAACGTCATACATTTCGTGCTGCCTCCTGGAGGGCCATGCGAAAGGCTCCGTCCACGTTGGCCAAGGGCAACGATCCCGTGCGGCGCGCGTTGTGGACCCTGTACAACGCGTACGTGGCCCACGCGCGCTGCCGCGCCTCCCCTTCCGATCCTGTGAACCCGAGGAAAAAGTCCAGTGCGTCCGCAGACGTCGACCCGGCGAGGCCGGCACGCGTGTGAAACAGGCGGCGCACTTCTGGACAGCGCGCGAAATGCACCACGCTGTCCTCGTGCCCGTCGCACCCGAACAAACACGCTCCACCTCCTTGAAACTGGCAGCGCGTGCACCACCCATCGCACACCAATCGCAAGTAGGCCGCCTGGACACGCGGTGCGCAGCACCCGGCCAGAAAGCGCATTCGGGCCAAGACCCGGGCGAGCCTGCGCCCGGGTAGGGTCACGGCGGGCCAACGATCCAGCCGCCGTCGGAGATGCCGGAAGGCGCGTTCCCCGGCTGGCGCCTGAGCCAGGGCGGCCGCGCGGCGCTGCCAGCCCGACTTCTCGTTCAGCCAGCGCTCGCCGGGCGGCACGCGCCGAAGTAGAAGGTCGCATTGGTCATCGGCAGCGTCGAGTTGCAGCAAGAAGAGTCGCGACCGCCACTCCTCCAGCCAAGCCTCGCGAATGACGTTACGCTCCCCGTCGAGGCTGGTCAGGGCGCGGAGCCGCTTGGCCCGCCGGCGCACCTCGAGGGCGCCTCCGGCTTCGAACCGGACCACCCGCGCCTTGGCCGCCAGTGCCGTGGCCTCCAGGTCCTTGAGTTGCCAGGACAGACCAAGCGACTTGAGGTCCTTCAGGCAGCCCGGCGCCATCCAGCCCATCGGCCCGTGGAACATGGTTCGGCACGCGCGGCATTCGAACTCGGCGAAATCCGGGGGGAGCGGGTCCAACTGGGCGATGAAGAGCAGCACGGACGCCACGTAGACAGAATACGCTTGCGCGGTCAGCAGCGCCCCCACGCCCAGTCGCCCCCATTGGCGGGCGCGGTCCAAGCACTTCTGGAGCGGCTTTTCCCAGGAACGCTGACCCCGCCCCGGGCCGACGTAGAACCCCAAGTACTTGGCCGCGGCGGCGATGACAGCCCCGCCCCAGGCGGGGACGGCCTGGCTCAGAGAAGCCCGCAGCGCGAGCTCGTCGAACGGGTCCAGCGGCACGAACACGGTTTTCGGCACGTTTAGCTGGAGGCCTGAGACTTTCGCGAAATCTTCAAAGAACTGCCAAAGCGCTAGGAGCCGCGATAAGGCGCGCGGGAGCACCATGGCCAGGTCGTCCGCCCATGCCTTCAGCAATGCATCCGGGAACGCTCTCGCCAACCTCCGCAGATACAAATCTGAGACCGCCGCGAAGAGGAGGGGCGACAATGGGCAGCCCTGGCGGATCCCCCTCGCGATGCCCATGCCAGCTTGTAGTGTGCCCCCGACGGAAATCAGGCAATAGTTATTCCAATACAAGCTTCCGATGAAATTGAGGAGCCACCCAGGCCACCCGAGGCTGCGGAAGAAATCGCGCAGCAGTCGGTGCTCTATGGAAGGGAACGCAGCTGCAAAATCAAAGAATATTGCGTGCGCCCCTTCCGATGCCATTGCTGCCTCGAACATGCCCTCGTCGACGTCCAGCAAGTTGGCGAGCATTGAGCGGCCCGGCAAAAATCCGCGCTGCGAGCCAGTGATGCGGCAGGACAGGCTGGGCTCGATCGCGATTCTCACAGCGCTGGCCAGCAGCCTGTTGTCCGTGTTCGTGATGTTCAGCGGCCGTACCCCCGCTGGCGCATACGCCTCCTGGCCGTCTTCTGCGAGGCCGGCTGCGGCCTTCGGGAGGAAGATCAGCAGGCTTTTGTTGAAGTCAGGGAGATCTCGCTGCAATCGATCCTGCGCGTCCGGCTCGCAGCATTCCTGCAGGGCCCCGGACAAGACCTCCTCCGCCAGGTTCCCGAGCCTTCGCCACGCCGCGTACAGAATCCCGTCCGGGCCCGGCGCGGAACAGCCAGAGCAGCGAGTGGCTTTGCGCACGTGGCACCGTTGAAGCCGAAGCCGCCGGAGACCCTGATGCGAGGGGGCTCTGGCGCTATCCGTGGTCTCCCCTTGGCCGCTTTCGGTCAGGGCCCGGTTCTCTGCGTCTTCCCGGAGCAACTCGGCCAGCGCGGCCTCGCCGATGCCCCGGGCACGGAACACCTCGGCCCAGTGGGACCTCAACGCCGCTGCCATGTCCTCGGCGGAAGTGGCATGTTCGCCGTTGGGAAGCAGGACGGCCTTGAGACTGCCGCCGCGCCCAGGGGCCAAGCGGAAAAGTCAGACGACTGTATTTTGCCTTGGCCTGAGCAGCCCGGGCGGAGTCTCCAGACTTGGCTGCCTCTGAGGCCTCCCGCAACTCACGCAAATAATGGCCCCGTGCGAGCTCCACAGCATGGTCCCGGACTGGGCGAAGCCGTCGCTCGAGCTGGCCTCCCACCTCGTACGGGTTGTCCACAAGGCTGGCCAGGTGGGGGCAACGCTGGAGACACACCGAGATTTTTCCCATTGCTCCCGCCTCGGCAGCCCAGAGAAACTTCATGGTGAGCCCCACGCGGTCCTCCGTGTGGACGGCTGGCTCCCGCTGCCCTGGGGCGGCGCCCAGGCGTCCAGCCACCGAGGTCATGCACTGCTTCAGCAGCCGGAGCCGTTGCAAACCCGTGGCGTCCGGCGTCTCGTCGCACGCCTGCTGGAACGCGAGAGCGGTGCGCCGGGGAAAATCCTCGTGCGTCTCCGCGCCCGGCTGGAACCCGCGCGTCTCCAGCGACCACTGGGGTGCGCGCCGGGAGAAGAGGACAGCCCGGTGCTGAGAGAGGCCAGGTTTCCAATCCAAGGCCACGCATCTGATGTCCCTGTCCAGCTGCTCGGCGAGGTGCCCGTTGCAGTAGAAACGGTCCAGCCGTGCCCGGGTAGCGGCCCCGGCGCAAGTCATCTCGCGCTGGTGCTTGTCGTGCAGCTCGAAGGGCCTACCCAACACACTCTGGAAGTGGTTCTCCTCGCGCGCGCCCCGCCGGCCAGTGCATTCCGCCGAGGCCGCGGCCCGCCGATCCGCAGGCGAGACGACATAATTGAAGTCCCCCCCGAGAACGGTGAGGGCCCGAACCGGAGGAAGCACGTGTCTGGCGAGCCTGGAGCGGAGGTGGGCCCGCAGCTCTGGGAAAGAGGGGTGCTCTGGCAGGTCGGCCACGTGCGCGCCGCACAGGTCCGCCTCGTTCACGTCGGAGCCCGTCGGGAAATAGACGACGATGATATCCAACGCACCTTCAGAGCCTCGCAATGACAGGACTGCCGCGCGACCTGGCCACACGACAGACCACCGCGGGGGCTCCTCGAAGCGCGCCAGGAACCTGTCCTGGACGACGATGCCCACGCCCGCGTGCGCTGTGGATGCGCCTGCCGACCACCATGCCGAGCAGCCGGTGGGCGGTCGCCGGATGAGGTGCCCTCCTTTGGTGCCGTGGGCCTCCGTCAGCAGCACGGCGTCGCTCCGCGCCAACAGAGAAAGCAAATAGCTCCTTTTTTATCTCATGCCGTCTAGGCTCCGATGCAAAGAAAGCCTGGGCATTGCACTCCGCGATGGCGAAATCTCCTCGGTAAGGGTGCAGCCCTCGCCGAGCGCCCGCGGCTCCAGGGGCCTCGGCGGCGCTGGCTGGTGCATGAGCCTGATGCCGCCGCTGGGGCACTGTGAGCGCTGGCGGGAGGATGGGTGTCGGCGGAAGCCCCCCCAGCGCCCGGAGAAGCCGTTGACGACCATATATGCCGACTGGGAGCCCGGCGGTGCTCCCTGTCCAGTTCCGGGGAACCAGATCGCACTCCTGGTAAACGAATTGAGGTAGCACTGGCAATTGACGGTCAGAGAAAACTCGAAGATGGCGATCGCGCCCTGCAGCTCGACTCCCATCTCTGACAAAAACGGCCTCATCTATGGAGACATCCTGGGAAGAAGGCAGAACCCTTTGGCGGCCGACGTCGCTCGACTCCGGCGCGCCCGCATGGAGGAACAAGACAAGTTCAAGACACCAGCCCTCCTCCCCAGCCTCCGTGACGAAGTGAATTCCAACATGCAGCAGCCCCTGGTCCGGGAGGTGGGTGGCTACGAGGCCCGCCCCCCGCGGCCGTTTCCTGGGCGCCTCTGTGCGTCCTCGGCGTCGTTGGCCACTTCGATGCCGACGTAGTCCTGCCCCACCTGAATCGTCTGGCCGTGCAGCGCCGCGAAGACTTTCCTGACCTCATCCCGGCTTACCAACAGAAGGCGGACACGCCCAGCGGACGCCGCGGTGTCCTTGGAGGCTAAGTGGATGAACTCTCCGATCTTGGGGTCACGCCCGTAATCCGTCTCCACCACCTGGAGGCCCACGCTCTGGACAAGGTGCTGCATGAGTAGACGGACGACGACCCCGTCCTCCCTGCCGACTTCCCCCTTCAAGGTGACGTCCGTGACAAAATCTAGCTGGGATCCGCACGCGTTGCCTCGCCGACGGGCCGCCGCCAGAGCCCCAGGAACGGCCGAGGGGGTGGCGATGGTCCGGCCGCCCAGTCGGGAGGGCCGCCATTTCAGCCGAGCTGAGGCCTCGGTGGAGTCCTCCTGGAGGACGGCGTCCATCGTGTGCCTCCAGGTGTCGTACTCCGCCTCCGAAAAGACCAAATATTTGGAGCGGCTCACGGAGACCATCTGCGAGCATAGGCGCCAGTAGTGGTGGATGTTGGCGCCGCTGGTGGTCTCGAGGATCTGTGAGTCCCCGGCGGCGAATATGGAGATGAGGCCGAAGAACGTGTCTGCTGGAAGGTCGGTCCTCCTGAGCGCCTGCAGCCGGAGGAGAACCTGCAAATCCGCCATGTCAGAGGGGAACAGAGCTTCGAGCTGGACTCGGGGCCGCTCCTTCGTGCTGAGCGCACTCCTGCTGTGGTCCTGGCAGATGACCCCCTGGAGGCCGAGCAGGCAGTTGAGGAGTCGGGGGAGGTGCGTAGCCTGGGTGTCGAAGATCACCGTGCGGGCCTCGATCAGCGTCAGAAGCGGCGCTACCGGGTTGACCATCTTGGGCAAGGCGCGCTCCCCCAGATGCCGCAGGGTGAACACCGCCAGTCCCGTGCGGACGTGGCGGGGCCCACCAGTCCCAGGCAAGATCACTTCCATCGGGGTGGCAGAGAAGGTGATCTCCCGGACGAGGGGTGCCCATGTGTCGCCGAGCAGCGGATGCCACCAGAGGTCCATCACCCCCGCCGGCGTGGACATGCCAGGCATCAGGGGAATGGTGGTCACTAGACGGACGGAAGTAGGGCGGCCCTCGGGCGGCATGCGGAGCAACCCCTTGAGGCAGCGGGTGAGGGCGTTGGTCTGCTCTGGTGCCCACAACACGGCCGCCCGTCCCGCCAGCGAAGTCCACAATCGCACGTCGTCGCCCTTCTCAGCCAAAGTGGCCAGCTCCCGGGCCTCGCGGACGACCTGTGCAGGGGCCGCCGAGAGATCGCCAAGCGTGCCCAAGATGTCGGACCACTGCGTGTACACCTGCTCCCCCGGGAGTACCGCGAGGGATCGGACGAAAGCGAGGGCCACTGGGCCGAGCTCGCGCTGCAGCGGAAGCTTGCTGGCTTTGAGCTTCCGGCGCTCCCTCAGCAGCGGCCCCAGCTCCTCCAGGCAGCGGGCCTCGGCGGCGTTCACCGCGAGGACGAACTCGTTGACGTTCTGCATGTCCGAGGCCGGCCACCCAGCGTGCTGCGCAAGCCCTAGCAGTAACTGCGCCGACCAGGCGCGGGCAGCGATGCTCGAGGCCGTGGGCTCCGGGCCCTCGTACATGGCCATGCCGAGCCGTCGCCACGGATCAGCGGTCCCGGGATCGTAGGCGAGCTTCCTCAACAAGCCCTGCATGTCCTGCCAGGAGCGCGGCAGAGTGACCGGAACACCACGCTGAGTCGGCTCAGCGTTGTGAACGGCCTGGACCAATGCGAAGTGCTGCAAGATCTCCTGCTCCGCGAAGTCCGACACGAGCTGGGTGTCCAGCATCGCCTGGGGCGGCCCGGAAGCAGTTGGTGCGGCCGCCGGGGGCGCTGCCGGCGGGGCCGCCGGTGCGGCTGCGACGGCGGCGCCCGGTGCCACTGCAGCCTCGTCGATGTCGACGTCGATGTCGGAGGCGTTTAGGCTGAGGTGCACGGCAGCCTGGGTCAGACCAGTGCCGTCGTCGTCGAGGCCCAGGCCCGGGGCGGACGGCGGGGCAGCCGCAGCAGAGCCACCCGCTGGTGCGGGAAGCCCTGGCGGCAGCGGCGGCCCAGCCGCCACAGCAGCAGCAGCCACGGCGCCGGGAAGCGCCTGGCCGCAGCGCCGGCAGCGGCCCAGCTCGTCGGCCGAGGCGGGCAGCGCGCTAAACAGCGGGCACGCCGCATGTGTGCACGCCATCACAGGTACTGGATTAGAGAGGGGAGCCTGAAAGGGATGAAGGTGCGATCGGGAATTTAAGGGGGTACAGCTCCTGAGCTCCTTGAGCCATGTAACCCTTGAGCCATGTAACCCTTGAGCCAACCCCTCACACGCTTCGTGCCCCCATCGGGAACTCCACCGAAGGGCCACGTGGCAGGGTCCACATGCTTCCCCCCCCCCACCCAGTGCAGAGCGTCGTGACCCCATAGGGAGCTCCACCGAAGGCCCCAGCGCCAGGGTCCACATGCGTCTCTCCCACCCAGTACACTGCTTGGTGGCCCATGGGGAGCTCCACCGAAGGTCCCAGTGACAGGGTCCACATGCGTCTCTCCCACCCAGTACACTGGTTGGTGGCCCATGGGGAGCTCCACCGAAGGTCCCAGTGACAGGGTCCACATGCGTCTCTCCCACCCAGTACATCGCTTCGTGGTCCATGGGGAGCTCCACCGAAGGTCCCAGTGACACGGTCCACATGCGTCTCCCTCACCCAATACAGCGTGGCCAATAGGCAGCTCCACCGAAGGTCCCAGCGGCAGGGTTCACATGCGTCTCCGCCATTCAATACAGCGTTTCGTGGCTCATGGGGAGCTCCACCGAAGGCCCTAGTGGCAGGGTCCACATGCGTCTCCGCCACCCAGTGAAGCTTTTCGTGGCCCATATGGAATTCCACAGGCGGCCCAAGCGGCAGGATCCACACGCATCTCCTCCGCCCAGTACAACGATTCGTGGCCCATAGGGAGCTCCACCGAAGGTCCCAGTGGCAGGGTCCTCATGCGTCTCCCTCACACAATACGACGTGACCCATAGGGAGCTCCACCGAAGGCCCCAGTGGCAGGGTCCACATGCGTCTCCGCCATTCAAGACACCGTTTCGTGGCCCATGGGGAGCTCCACCGAAGGTCCCAGTGGCAGGGTCCACATGCGTCTCCCCCGCCCCATTGCAGCGCTTCGTAGCCCCATGGAAAACTCCACCGAAGGCCCCAGCGACAGGGCCCACATGCGTCTCCCCCCTCTCAGTTTTCCGATGTGTGACCCACAGGGAGCTCCTCCGAAGGCCCCAGCTGCAGGTTCACAAGGCCCAAGAGGCAGGGTCCACGTGCGTCTCTCCGCCCAACTTCGGCACACCCTCGCACGTTTCGTGGGCCCATAGCGAGCTCCACCAAAGGCCCCAGTGGGAGGGTCCACGAGCATCTCCTTGCCCAATTTCAGCACACCCCTCACACGGGTCGTGCCCCCCATGGGGAGCTCCACCAAAGGCCCCTGTGGCAGGATCCACACGCGTCCCCCCTTTTCAGTACACCATTTGGTGGTCCATTCGAGGCTCCGCTTAAGGCCGCAGTGGCCGCGGCCGCATGCGTCTCCCCCATCTACACAGCGCTTCGTAGCCCCGTAGGGAGCCCCACCGAAGGCCGGATTGGCAGCGGCCGCACGTTTCACCTTCACCCAATACAGCGTTCCGTGGCTCCATACAGAGCTGCACCGAAAGCTTCTTTGGCAACGTTCGCATGCGGACCCTGGGCCCATGTCCGCGTGCCTCTCACACCTTGCGACGGACACAACCATATGCAAGTGTGAATACCTCGTTGTGGCTATCGCTTTCGGTGGAGCTCCCCATGGGGCCACGAAACACGTGAGGGGTGTGCCGTAATGGTGGCGGTGCGCAGCGCATGCGAAATATGCCATCGGGGCCTTAGGTAGAGCTCCCTGTGCGGCCACGAAACGTGTGAGGGGTGCGCAGAAATGTGCGCCGAAATGCGCCGAACGTTACCAATGCCTCTGGTGCACGCGGCCACGGCCACTGGAGCCTTCAGTGGAGTTCCCCATGGGGCCACGAAGCGCTGTTCTGGGCGAAGGGGAGCATGCGGCCGCGGCCTTTGGGGCCTTCGATGGAGCTCCCTGTGGGGCCACGGAGCGCTGTATTGGATGGGGGAGATGCATGCGGCCGCGGCCACTGCGGCCTTAAGCGGAGCTTCGAATGGGGCCGCGAAACGCTGTAATGAGCGGGGGGGAGCATGTCGACCCTGCCACTGGGGCCTTCGGTGAGGCTCCCTTGGGGGAGCACGAGAACTTTGAGGGATGGTGAAATTGGGCATGGAGAAGCATGTGGGCCCTTCCGCTGGGGCCGTCGGTGGAGCTCCCTATGGGGCCACGAAACGTTGGAGGGACCTATTGGGCGGGGAGACGCATGTGGGCCCTGCCACTGGGGCCTTCGGTGGAGCCCCCTATGGGCCCCGAAACGCTGCACTGGGTGGGGGAGACGCATGTGGACCCTGCCACTGGGACCTTCGGTGAAGCTCCCTATGGGCCACGAAACGCTATACTGGGTAGTGGAGGGGGGCTTATGTGGACCCTGCCACTGGAAGGCGTCGGCAAGGTAGCCTCATCCCACCTCCAGAGTTTCGTCTGCACTTGCTCCTCCTACTGCTGCCGCAAGTCATTTCGAGACTAGTCAGGAAAACGTCAGATTCGGAGCGAGATAAGTCGATTGTCTGTGAGAGCGTGTCTGGAGGATGTGCCAGGCACCGCGGCAAATCTACAAGTCTGGTCGCAAGTCACGAGGCGCTGTCGGGTGGCTGTTGGCGATGCGTCATCGTTGAGCAGCCTCTGTCAAGTTGAGAAGCGCATTGTGTACTCTTTGTTGAGCGCCCCCTTCAAAGTGGACGGGAGCGCTGGGCTCTTGGCTGGATGCCTCCCCGCCCGAGCACCTCGGTGCGCTGGCTTCAACTTTGGAGGGCGGGGGCAAGCTCTCCACGGCGCGACTTCAACGTTGTGTCGTTAGGTGTGACCGGGCTTGTAGAGCACTCTCTGGGAATGCTCTGGGAGCGCTCTGGAGGTGCTCCGGCTCGGTGTGTCCGCCTCCGAAGCCTGCCTGGTTCTTGCTGCACCCGCTCCCGCCTCCTCTGTCTCAGGGGACCTCTCACCAACCCAACCCGCAGACCTCCGATGCGGTGATCGTCTCGATATGCGACCACCAAGAGGTCTGGATCCCTTCCACTGGGCTGCTTTTCCTTACTGGGTCGCTTTCCTACAGCCCCTTGGCCCAGGGATAGCCCCTCCTGGGAGACCGGAAACTGCCGAAAACTACGGCCCGAAGGTGTCTGTGCCTGGGGGTCAGGAGCCGACCCCAGGATCTCGCCTGGGCTGCGCTCAGACCAATACTTCATGGAGGAGGCCCCCCCCCCCGAGCTTCAGAAACAACGCAACGCGTGAGAAAGACCTATCGGTCATAGTAGACACTTGACCCTGAACCGCCCACCCCCCCTGATTAGTTATGTTGCATCGTCGGGGGACCTTATCTGTCCTATCGCGTCGAATCCGCGTCGAATCCGTGTCGAATGCATGTCGAATCAGCGTCGAATCCGCGTCGAGCCCGCGCCAAATCCGCGTCGTATCCGCGTCGAGCCCACATCGAACATTACACGAACAAAACACCATTCACAGGGCAGCCCAGGTCCCCCGAAGATGCAACGTAAGATTAGCAGGGACACAATGAACGGGCCCTCCCCCTCGCCCAAAATTCGAAGTCGGCACGCGCGGGTGAGACTGCAGTCGCAGCGCAGCTCATCAGAGCCACCACCAACTTTGACCATTGGGGAAAAGGGGGGCATTGACAGATGAAAGGAACGTGAGTGTTCGCTAATGTAGTCTGGGCCCTATCTGAGGAAGCCGCTGCTCCCCGGACCTCTCCCAAGGTGCGTTCTGACCAGGATTTCGAGGCGAATCCAGCGGTGGCGACGAGGGCATCCCAGGAGGCCCCAAAAGGGTAAAACGAGGGAAGGGCAGCGGTAGGGGTACCTCTTCCTCCTCTGACTAATTGTCGCCTTCCCCCCCCCGATTGGCCCCAGAGAGCGCCCAGCGCGTCCGCGAACGGGTCCTTCAGCGCCTGGATAGAACGCAGCCAGAACACGGTATCCACGCCCTGGCGCGGGGAAAAACGCGTGCGAGAACTAAGCGTGCGACCATGGACCCCTTGACAGGCAGCAGCAATCGCCGCGCCGTTTGTTCTCGACGCGCCCCAGCGGACGACGCCGACACCACGGCAAACCCACGGAAAACCCTGCGTCCCGCGCCCCAAGTACAGTAGGGGCCCGACCACAAGAAACCTTCCACAAGAAACCCAACCCTAAGACCCTAGGACATCCACCGACTTTTGGTGTGGCAACGCCACGCTTTCCATCGCAAAGCCATCGAAACCACCCAAGACGCCCAGGGCACCCTGGAGGCCAGCAGGGTTCTTCTTGGCATGGGCCCCCACTGTGGGAATGGCGTCGGTACCGCGGCAAGCCCCACGGCAGGCCACCCGCGCCCGAGGCGGCGCTTCTGCCGCTGGTGCCCGCGGCGCCCTCCCCAAGGCCTCCTCCTCCGCCCTCCTCCTCCGCCCTCCTCCTCCGCCCTCCTCCTCCTCCTCCGCCCTCCTCCTCCTCCTCCTCCTCCTCCTCCTCCCCCTCCTCCTCCTCCTCCTCCTCCCTCCTCCTCCTCCTCCCTCCTCATCCGCCCTCCTCCTCCTCCTCCTCCTCCGCCCTCCTCCTCCTCCTCCTCCTCCTCCTCCTCCTCCCTCCCTCCTCCTCCTCCCTCTCTCCTCCTCCCTCCTCCCTCCTCCCTCCTCCTCCCTCCCTCCTCCCCTCCCTCCTCTCCTCCTCCTCCCTCCTCCTCCGCCCCCTCCTCCTCCCTCCTCCGCCTCCTCCGCCCTCCTCCTCCTCCTCCTCCTCCGCCCTCCTCCGCCCTCCTCCTCCCTCCTCCTCCTCCCTCCTCCTCCTCCTCCTCCTCCTCCTCCTCCTCCCCACGTCGGAGCAGACGACACGCGGCGACCACGAAAAAAGTCGGCCCGGAGACCTTCATGGCCAGGCTGAGCCCGGCCGGCGGAGCTCGGCGAGGCGGAGCTCGGCCTGGCCTAGTTTCGCCTGGCCGAGCCTCTCCCTTGTCGATGCCCATGGGCCTTGGGTGAGGTCGGGCATGTCCTCCTACAGGCGGACTTCGGAAGAAGAAATAAAACAGACTCTATAGATATTCAACGATGGTCAGAAACAGCACGAAAGATCGTCCCCTGACTATTTGTTTAACCATTCTCGAATAATCATCCTTGGGAGGTCTTCTGACGCCCTTCCGACTCCAAGGGTAGTCTTTCACGACCAGTCCCCAAACCCCGACGTCATGGCTTGTTCACAACGTCGACCCCCAGAGGTCTCGACCCATACCCCGGGACCGGTTTTGCATCCTGAGTCGCTTTCTGACTGTCAGGAAGCCTGGTAGGGGCCCCCAGCAGCCGAAAATTGCGCAAGAGCCTCCCGTTGTTTCCCCCCACCCCCACCCCCACAGGAGGCTTTAAGGACTCTGAGGCTTTTTGGGCCGCTCAGGAGGTCCCTGCACGGAGACACCGACGGTGATCACGGGTGACCATACTCCCGCGGCAACCACCCGTGAGGTCGAGTGACGAACAGCGGAGGCGAAACGGAGGGTTCCAAAAAGGGTTTCTGGGGAAGGGGTTTTCCAGAGAGCCCCCCAGGGGCCTCGGAACCTCGTCAAAACAGGGGGTCCGAAGCCCCTGGGGGACCCCTCCTGGAAAACCCCCTCCCCCAAAACTCTCCTTGGAACCCTCCCCAGAAACCCCCTGGCCCGAAAAGCCCCCTCCCCCCCAAAACCCCTCTCCCCTCTTGTGATCTCTGCGCGGCTCCGAGGGGGTCCAGGGCCATCGCGCCGTGGAGCAGCACGGCGGCAGGCCTGGGCCACCTGCGGCCTCTTGGGGGGGGGGGGCCTCGCCCGAGCGACGCAAAGGAAGGGGCCTTACGCGGGGTGGCCTACAGAGGGGAGGGGGTGCCCAGTCCGCAAGAAAGTGAGCGTTTCTTTTTATCCGGCGTTTCGACATTGGGCGGAAGGGGGGGGGGGGGTCTCCAGACTTCTGCTCCATGCGGCTGTTTGGAACTGACCGTGCGTCCGATGGCAGAGACTCCACCTGCTCGAAGCAGGCGCCAAAAACAGCAAAGATCCACTGCACAGAGGGGGAAGGGGGGGGGGGTGCGAGTGCCCGCGCCGATCGGCAAAACAATGAATAAAAAACAATCACAAATCTTCCACACGAAACCCAACCCTGAGATCCCAGGACGATCGCTGATTCTTGGTATGGGAACGTCACGTCTTCCATCGCAAAACCATCGAACCCCAAGAAACCCAGGGCACCCTGGAGGCAAGCAGGATGCTTCTTGGCATGGCCCCCCACTTGTAGCGGCCTGGCGCCGCGGCTTACGCGGGCCGCCAGCGTGGCAAGCTACAGCAGACACGAGGGCGCTCACGCGCGAGCTTACGCGCGCAGCCTGCGCGCCCATGTTGGCGCAGACGGCCCCGTGTTGCTGCGCCGCTCACCTGGCCCGGGGTCTCCGTCACAGAACGGCCTGTGAGCAAATACAGTCGGGGCGTTGACCTAAGGAACCCTAAATAAGGAACGAGGCCCCTTTTTTCCATAAGTTAAACTTCGATTTCCTATCGAAAACATAAGGAAAAACTGAGGCAAGCTGTGAAACGCTTAAGGAACGCGGAACCCCTCCCCAACCAAAAGGGTTCCTTCTTCAGGGCCCCGACTGTACTCGTCCCCCGGGGGAGGGTCCGTCACAGAACGGCCTGGGAGGAACGACTTGTCCCCTGGGGGGAGGGTTGGCCAGAGCCCTCCGGGGCTCGACGCCAGCGAAGAAGTCACTGCCACGCCATGCAGCGCATGCTTGCGAGCACACCGCAGCATGATTTGCTGCAGGCGTGCATGCATCAAGGGCGCCCAACTTCGCGCTTCGCGCTGCGGTGCGCGAAGCGCGAATAACTTCGCGCTCTCGCGCCGCCCCCCAGAGGAGAAGAGGAGCAGGAGCAGTAACCGGAGCCAAACTGCGAAGCATGAAGAACTTCGCGCCCTCGAGGGCGCCCTTGATGCATGATGATTGCGCCATCCGTAGTCGCCGAGGCTCGAATCTAGAGGTAATCGGACATACTCTATCCAGGACCAGGCAGAAGAAAAACTGCACAACCACTGCTGACGGTTCTTTGGCTTCATCGTGACGTCGGGAAGTCTGGGAACAAGGCAAGGACGAGAACGAGGACAACGAAACGCATAGGGCTTGTAGAAAGTGGGCAAGGGAGTGGCATAACATGGTCGGTGCGCAAGGGGCAGATCGGCACATGGAGGAGCGTGGAGGCGCGTGGAGGCTTCACGGAGGGGTATCATCGACAGATTCATCGCAACTACCTGACAACTAGTCCCACACAACGGCATGTGTTGGATCGGGGTGCTGCTTCCCGCGTCATGCGCGCACACGATACCGTCTGAGCACAATTCTGACGGGGGCAGCGATGATGGGGGTCGAGACAACTCTCTTGAGGTGTTGAGAAGAGAAAAATAAACAAGGACATGGCGCTCAGAAGCGAATAGACGTATAATGGTAAGAACAACTTGCGAACGTTGGCGACGTAGCAAGAAGGAAGAATAATCTAGATGAGGCATCTAGTCCAGAAGATCGACATGGCACCTCGACTGAATGAAGCATGGTGTGAGGCAAGACGCTCAGAATGTCACAGACATACCCGGGGCGCTTAGCTAAGCCACGTCGGAGTGGCCTGTTAGAACGAGGCTAGTGAGACGCGGATTGGCCTGATGAGGTTCCCTTGTTGCTATCTCTCCCTCTCTCTCTCACTCGCTCTGTGCCTCCCCCCGTATCAATCTCAACCCCGCTCTCTCTCTCTCTCTCTTTCTCTCTCTCTCTCTCTCTCTGTTTTACTCTCTTGTTCTCTCTCTCTCTCTCTCTCTCTTGTCCTCCATCCACTGCAAGACGAGAATGGGGTTCACATGGCAGAATACCCCGCATGGCAGATATCCCGCACATATGCACGGGGATGCCATTGTTAGCCACAACATAGACAACATCAACCCTGAATAAGGTTTCCTCCCCTGCCATCGGGACATTCTGTCCTCCTGTCCGAGCGGGTCTTGGGACCCTCCTCCTCTGAGGGTGGGCATGCATGGGGGGCGCGGCGCGTGCCATCTTCACACGCCGAAGTGCATCAATCTTGCCCTGGCGGATGAGCTGCTGGTCAGTCAGGTGGGACTGCAAGTGCCGCACCCTGCCGGTGAGCCCCTTTGCCGCGCAGCAGCGGCCGCGAACATCAGGCGGCCGCGCAGCGTGGGTGGTCTTCGCGGCAAGCCAGAGCACAAGACACCTCGCAAGCCCAACAGGGCTGGGGCGCACTAGACCCTGTCAGCACGGAGACGGACAGCTCCCAAGAAGCGAGGTCGTCGGCACGTCCGTCTCTCGAGTGCCAGGCAGCCGACCGTCCAACCCGCCAGCCAACGAACCTGCAAACCAAGCAAGCCAACAGGTGGACCACCACTCCATCCAGCCAGCTAACCAGCCAGTCAGCGAGACGACGATCCAACGTGCCAACCGCTTACTTAACCAACAATAGAAGGGGTAAGGAACCTAACGATAAGAAAAAAAGAGCTGACTGGCCAATGAACCACCAGCCAGCTGGCCAACCAATAGACCAGCCAAACTACTACAGTCAACCCACATAGTAGGGATGGGCAACCTTCCCAAGGGTACCCTTGCACCATTGCCTCCTCGGCCCATCCTCGGCCGCGTTCGCTGGCCGCGTTCGCTGGCCGCGCCCTGCTCGCAGAGAGTCGACATGGCCTTCCAAAGCCCTTGCGTCTTTATCGCGCGTCCTTGTGATACGGGTTGGTTGACTGTAGTCAATCAATCAGCCAACAGACCAGCCAGCAAACCCGCCATCCAACCGACCAGCAAGCCCATGACCAAGCCAACCAACCAACCAACGACCAGACAGACAGCCAACCAACCGCCAACCGACCGACCAGCCAACAGCTACCACACGGCGAACAAGCCAACCAACCAGCCAACCATCCAACACGCAAACCAACGAACCATCCAAAAATCCAATCGGCCAGCTGGCCGACTGACAAGCCAGGCAGTCAGCGAGACGATGCAGCAACCAGCCATGGAGCCAGCCGGCAAGACGGTCAATCAACGAGCCAGCCAGTTTGGACGCCTTGGGCTATCTTCCTGGGGTCCTCTTGGGGCTATCTGAGGCTCTTTGGGGAACACATCACTCGGCGACGGACAGACCTCCCTTTAGTAAACCTCCCCTTAGTGAAAACGGCCTGGGACCAAAACCGACGGACCTGGACCCGCAAAATGACGGCCGCGACAGCCTCTCGCGAACCGAAAACGGCCAATTCCTCAATCGACGTGTCAGGGTAGGAGGTCTGTCCACCGCCGAATCACATTCGGGTGTTCTGCAAGCCCCCAGGGACGCCAGGACGGCCGCGAGACGCCAAGGCTGAGGCCCTGATCGTGCCCAAGAGAAACCACCGGAGGATCCAGAAACAATCCTCCAAGACGGCCCCAGCTCCAGCCCAAAAATGTTCGGCCACAGGCCTGGCAAGGCCGTACCCCCGACCATTCTCTGATTGGAAGACTTGGGTGCCAGCTTCGCCCATTCGAATCGAGAAGTCGGGTCGGCGATCGAAATGAGTCGGATCGGCGGAAATCGGCAGTCAAGTCAAGAGAAGCTTGATCAACAGAAATCAGCAAGCTAGGAAAACCTCCGCTGAGAAATCGGTGTCTGGACTGGAAACCGACGTCCAATCGAATCGGAATCGGAAGCCATCAAAATCGAATCGGATCGAATCGGGGGAATCCAAAATCAGCTCTGAGGGAGGCGAAATCTTTACAATACATATGCGCTGCTCCCTGGCCAGGCCCACCCTGAACCCAGCAGCGGTGTATACGCCACGCCCTCCTGGCTTGGCAAGAAGGGCGTGTATTTGGACGCTCGAAATGAAAGCAGTGCCCAATAAGACATGTTGTCCAAAACTGGCAGCGGCCGCCGTTTGGCAGGCGACCTTCTGTCTCAAATGGGCAACGCTCGCAGCGGCGCGGACAACGAGTCCTGCTCAAAATGAACAGGACCCGCTGTTGGGAACCGTGCCCGGTCTCTCCGTGCCAATTTCGTTCGCGCCGAGTATACGCAGGTCCTGGTCCCAGAAAGGGCCCAGCCAGGGGACAGCATCGACCGACTCTGGGTCGCCAGCGGCGTTGTAACGCCGGCGGCGGGGTCGCCACCGGTCGACACGAGTGTGACACGGCGCGAACCTACCGTACGCGCATTCAGAGAAGGGCCTCGCGCAGTCCGCTGGGCATCCTCAAGCCATCGTTCCACGAAGCCTCCTTGGGAGGTTTGAGGTCGGAGCTTTTGCGGATCTTTTGGATAGCGTGTCGCCACTGCGGCCCTGGCGACACGCTATCCGCTGCGAGCTGACAGCGTGTTGCTCCGCTCCGCTCCGCGGGGCGGGAAGCACGGAACAGCTCGGCACGTGGATGCCTCCCTCGGGACCGCCAGGTGGATAGTGTGTCGCGCCGAGGCGCGGTGGGCCAGAACCAGATCCGAAAGTTCCCGACCGTAGGCACATGCAAAGTAGTGCAGCGCGCATTCCGCTTTGCATCCTCGAACTATCCTTCCTCGAAGCCTCCACGGGGGGGCGCACGAGGTGGAACCAGATGGCCCCAAGATGGTTCCAAAAAGTCGACGGTGCTAACAAAACTGCGTGATGGGATTGCCAAACTTCTTAGCGTGATGGCCTGGGTGTCCCAAGCAGATCCCCAAGAGGCAAGCATCATTCAAACCCCAAAGTGTTCATACGTGTTTGGGCTCATCGCCATTTCGCTTCCGATGGGCCTGGGAGGCCTCGAGATGGCCCAAGATCGATTAAGTCAGCCCCACGAGGGGCGGAGAAAGGGCCCAAGACAGCCACGAGAGCCACCAAGAGCGTCCCAAGACAATGCCAGGAGGGTTCCAAGAGGCGACCCTCCAAGATGGCCTCAACAAGGACCCCCCCCTCAAACAGAAGGGTCCGGAGAAGGCCCCAGATGACTCCTTGGAAGAATAGGTCTGCGAAGGTCGTGATTGCTGACTCCTGTTGTCGTCGTCGCTGCCCACGTCCTCAAGAATGTCGTTTTCGCCCTATTCCTCCTCCTCATCATCATCATCGTCCTCCAACTCCTCCTTCTCCTACTCCTCCTCCTCCTCCTCCTCCTCCTCCTCCTCCTCCTCCTCTTGCTCCTCCTTCTCCCGCTCCTCCGCCTCCCCCTCCTCCGCCACCACACCACAGCATCATCATCATCATCATCATCATCATCATCATCATCATCATCATCATCATCATCATCATCATCAGCATCAGCATCAGCATCAGCATCAGCATCAGCATCATCATCACAATATTGATCATCATCACCGCCATTATCATCATCAGCATCATCATCAGCCGCAGCAGCAGCACCAGCAGCATGTTCGTCATTACCACCGCCACCATCATCATCATCAGCAAAATCATGAGCATCAACAACATCATCATTTACATCATTATGAGCACCATCATCATCAACATCAGCATCATCAGCATCAGCATCATGATCAGCATCGTCATCGTCATGCTGGTCAGCCTCATCATCCTCATCATCATCAGCATCAGCATCAGCATCAGCATCGGCACCATCGTCATCGTCATCATCGCCATCGCCATCATCATCATCATCATCGTCATCATCATCATCATCATCATCATCATCATCATCACCATCACCATCACCATCACCATCACCATCAGCGCAACATCATCATCAGCATCATAATCATCATCACCAGCATCAGCATCATCGGCACCATCATCAGCAGCATCATCAGTATCAGTATCAGTATCGTCATCATCATCATCGTCGTCATCGTCGTCACCGTCGTCGTCATCATCCACATCGTCATCGTAATCATCATCACCACCACAATCATCATCATCTGCAGCAGCATGCTCACCCTCACCACCACCACCGCCATCATCATCATCATCACCAGAATCAGAATCATCATTATCATCGCCACCTTAATCATCATCATGAGCATCATCATTATCAGTATCGTCATCCTCCTCATCATCAGCATCATGATTACCGTCGACGTCATCATCATCATGATCAGCCTCATCATCATCATAATCATCTCATCAGTATCAGCATGTTCATCATCGTCGTCACCATCATCATCAGCAACATATCATCAGCATCACCACCATCAGCGTCATCAGCATCATCATAATCATCATGAGCATTAGCATCAGCATCATAATCATTATCATCAGTATCGTCATCAATGCCACCGTCGTAGTTGACATCCAGATCGTCAGCATAATTATCATCACCACCACCATCATCGTCATCATCATCAGCAGCAGCATGTTCATCATCACTACCACCACCAGCATCATCATCATCATCAAAACATCGTCGGCATGATCAGGAACAGCTTCAGCACAGCTTTTCGACAAAGGTCAGCAGGCCCTGTCAAACAGAATTGTATACGTTGCAGGCCGGGCCCATGATACGGAATTGGGACATACCCATATCATCAAGCGTGCTTCTGTAGATTCTAGGCTCAAGGCTGGAGGGCATGCGGCAACCCGATTCGACGTTCCAAGGGTCGCTGAGCTTTCATTCGTTTACGGGTGGTACCGCGCAGCCACAGCTAAAAGAGATGGGCTTACATCCTGTCGCGCGTTGGCGCTTGAACGACCAGTGGGTCCTTCGTGTGCTGGCGTACTGGCAACGTTGGGATAGCCACAATTAAAAACGAGATCAGCGCTCGAAACACACGCCCAACAATATGCGCCATCGTTTGTGGCTTGGCAGCGGCACCCTCTGCCTGCTCCCCCCTCGACCTGGTGCAACAACTGATGATGAGCCTTTGCAGCCACGCACCTCTCGATCCCCACCCCCCTTCTCTTCTCCTGCGAGGCCAGGGCTTGGGCCTACCAATCTCCACCGCCTCCCGAAGTCGGCGCAGATCAGCTCCCAGGGCGCTGGAGACTCCCCCCCCCTTCTGTTCCCCGTCCCGCCCTGTACACCCGCCCACCCCCTGCCCCTGCCCGCGCGAGTGCAGGGGGGACACCACCGCTGCCACAGTGGCCCGAGACCCGCAGAGGCGTGATTCGCACGATAGCCAGTCCTCCTCCTCCTCCTCCTCCTCCTCCTCCTCCTCCTCCTCCTCCTCCTCCTCCTCCTCCCTCCTCCCTCCTCCTCCTCCTCCTCCCCCTCCTCCCTCCTCCTCCTCCTCCTCCTCCTCCTCCTCCTCCTCCTCCTCCTCCTCCTCCTCCTCCTCCTCCTCCCTGGCCCCCATCTTTCTGGCCCCGGGCAGCCACCCGAGGACGACTCGCGCGCGACGCGCGGGGCCCACGACCCCGCGCCCTCCGAGGCGCGAGCCCAGCCTCGTGCTGCGCGGCCCCGCCGACGCCCCCGCGACGGGGGGCGCCCACCGCGGGGCGGCCTCCCGCACCGCGGAGGCCGCCCCGCGGCCAGCAACTTTCGGGGAGACGTAAGACCCGGGTACGGGGGACTCGGAAATCCTCTAGCTCATCGATGTCGAAGAGCTCTACGAGGTATTTTCAACCGACCAAAAGTCACCAAAAGTTCCGTCGAGATTTTTCTTGCCAACTAGCTCTCCAGCGCCCCGGAATTACTGGAACTTCTGGATAGCGTGTCGCTCTGCAGGCTCTGTGGCCCACCGCCGCGCATCACACGTGCATCGTCGATGCATCGGCGATGCATCGGCGACGTCGACGTGGAGGAAATCGGGCGCCGCATCGAGCCGCACCGCCGATGCATCGGCGATGCGGCGCGATCTTCTGACCCCATCTACTCCGACCACATCTAGGCTAGAAGAAGAAAAACCAGCATAAGCATGAACTGTTGGCGCTTCGCGGGGATTTCTTGAATCCGCTCTGGACCCCCTCCCTGGCGCGCGGAGCGCGCCAGGGGCGGCGCCGCCGAGGGGCCCAGCGCGGATCCAAGAAATCCGCGCGGAGCGCCAAAAGTTCATGCCTATGGCGCTGTTTCTTCTTCGAGTCCAGGAGGCCCCGAGACACGCTGTCGACTCCGTGGTCCCGAGTCGTCCACGTGCCGAGCCTGCTCCCGAGCTCCCCGCCCCCGCGGAGCCGAGCGACTCGCCGCCCACCCGCAGGGGCTCAGCGCGTCGCCCCGTGGGCCGCCGTGGCGACACGCTGTCAGAAAGCTCCCGGCTGTGCGCGTGTCCCGCCAACGGACCGCCCTCCCCTCGGCGGCGAGCAAGCAAGCAAGCGAGGAAGAAAACAAGAAAGCAAGAAAGCCAAGCATCTTGAGGGACGTGTGGGGTGGACAATCAGGACGCTCGTGGCTCCTGCCGTGGGTCACTGAGAGTGAACAATCGCGATGGAAAATGTTGGGAACATTATGCCGTTCTAGACAATTGTGCCACTACGCTCGGCGGCGAGCGAGGGGAAGTGAAAAGGAGAAGGCCTTCCCAAAGGGCGGCGGGGCATCTCAGAAGCCCCCCGGCCATCTGACAGAAGTGCTCTCCGTGTCTTCAGGGGAAATTCGCACAACTTCTCAGAAGGCCGGGCAGTTGCCGCGCCTTCTGAAAAAAGGCCTTCTCCCTCTCACTTCCCCCCCTGACGCGCCGCCGGTCCCCTGCTTTCTGCGACTGTGCGACTGCCCGGGCCCCTCCTCATTGCGAGCCCCCTCTCAACACAACGTGTGCGGGCGAGTTGCGGCCGCCTTGCGGCCTATGCGTCGACGCGCTCTGCTCGAGCCACGGGCGGGGGCGGCGCACGAGGTGGGGCACGGAGAGAGGGAGGCATCGTACTCGCCTGAACCGCGTATTTGGGATGCCGCTGGGGGGTCCCAACTGCTGGGAGCCAGGCCCTGGCCTGCTCCATTCCAGCTGCGTCAATGTGGGTCGAGAACTGTTTCGCAGGCGTGTCAGATGTTCCTGTGGTGGACGGGATCACACATGATGGACGAAAAGGACACACGGGGGGGTCGGCGAAGAGACGCCGCAATAGGTACAGTCGCGGTTGTTTGGGGGGGACACGCGAAAGGACACAAGAGACCCTTCCGAGGGCCACATTACCATGGGAAAGTAGAGGGCATGGGTCGCGAAACACAGGACGCAAGGGGCGCCCTGGACTTGGCAGGATCGACCTACCAGTCAGCCTCGACTGTATACGGGGGGCGGATAAATCATAATTCGTGGTGTAAACGGCAAGCCGGCGAAACGCAAGTGCTGGAAAGACGGGCGGGCGACGGCAGCCAGCGCCTCGCTCGAGACATCCGAAACAACCTGTTCCCTGGCGGCTCCTCCCTGTGGATGCCAGCGCCTCGCACGAGACATTATCACCATCTGCTCCCTGGTGGCTCTTTCTTGGAGCGCTGAAGCCAGCGCCTCCCTCAAGGCATCCTCACAGTTTGTTATGAAATCAAGGACCGCTAAAGACATCTCCAATATGTTCTGCATGTCAAAGAGTCTGGGCAACCAAACTTGCAAATCGCCAGAGGCCCTGTCACAATCCTATCTGACAGCAGAAACGCCCAAGTAAACAAACAGGCAAACCGCCTGAGACAGCCCCGCAATCCGGCCGCGAACGAAGCCGTGCAACCACCCCTGGCGGCTCCACCCTGGGGTGCTGAAGCCAGCGAAGCGCTCGAGACATCCTCACAACCTGCCAGACCAACACTGAATGCTAGTGAACGCCAGTGCGAAGTTGAGCGCGAGCGAACCTGAGTGCGAGTGCGTCTAACTATGGGTGATTACGAGTGTGATTCTGAATGTGGGTGACTCTGAGTGCGAACGAGTCTGAGTGCGAATGAGTATGAGTGCGAGCGAATAGGAGTGCGAGTGGACCCGTGCCCGAATTAGTCCGAGTGCGAGCGAGCCTGGGGGATGAGAGGATCTGAGTCCGATTGAGTCTAAGCGCGATCGAGTCTCAGCGCGCATGAGTCTGATTGAGAGTCGGAATGAGTCTGAGTATGAATCTGAATGTGGGTGAGCCCGAGTGCGGATGAATCTGAGTTTGAGCGAGTCTGAATGCGAACGCGAGTGAATCCGAGGGTGAGAAAGAAAAAGCGTGAGCGAGTCTGAACCCGATGGGGTCTGAGTGAGGAAAAGGAAAAAGAAGAGAACGATCAAGAAATATGATAAAAGAAAGGCGAGCAAAGAGTCAGAGACACCCACATGATAATTGTATAACCCCACCGTGGGATATGGGGGACTAGCTCGCGGTGAATAGGTCCCTTTCCCGTCCTTCTTCTTCCTCCACGTCGTACCCCTTCCCTGCTCGCCCACGCTGTTTCAGCAATTCCGCGCCCGCGCCGCGCGCAACCGTGTACGGCGCTAGGGGCCGCTTGTACACGTGGCTACGGTTCAAGTAGTCTTGTGGACCAAGTCCGCCTCCGCCGTGCCTCGATGGGGTAATGTTGACCCTGGCGGCGAAGAGGTAGAGGGGGGGGCCGTCGTCATACCCTTTCCCTGCTTTCCCTCCTCCCTCCCTTGTTCCCACCTCCTGGGTCCGCCTCCTTCCTCCTCCGCCCTCTCTCGTCCTCCCCGGCGGCCGTCCCTCTCCCTCCTCCTGTTTCCTCCTCCTCCTCCTCCTCGTCCTCCCCCCTCCTCGGTCCTCCCTCCGTCCCTCCTCCTCCTCCCTGGCGGGCACCCCCCTTCCTGGCGACCCCCTCCCCTCGCCCTCCTCCTCCTGCGCTCCGCGCGCGCCTGTCCCGAGCCCTCCCCACCAATCTGGCAGCGCACGGGCGGGCGTCCTGCCCCCTCGGGCGGCTCTCTCCAGGGGGGGGCTCGAGCCAGCGCCTCGCTCGAGGCAGCCTGAACAGCCTGCTCCCTGGCGGCTCCTCCCTGTGGATGCCAGCGCCTCGCACGAGACATCCTCACCATCTGCTCCCTGGTGGCTCCCTCCTGGGGTGCTGAAGCCAGCACGCCTCGCTCAGGGCATCCTCACACCTCTGTTCTGAAAGCAGGGCCCGCTTGAGACATCCTCACCACCGGCTCTGAAACCAAAGGCGTCTGGACAACCAAACAAGCAACCCGCACGAGACATCCTCACAATCTGGCCTGCAGACAAACAGCCCGAGAATTCTGCACAATCTGGCCGCGAACGGGGCCGTGCAACCACTCCTGGCGGCTCCCCCTTGGGGTGCTGAAACCATCGAATCGCCTGAGACATGCTCAAAAACCTGATGTGAGAAAGCAAACAAGTCCAAGCCACCAAGCAGGCAAACCGCCTGAGACATCCCCGCCATCTGGCCGCGAACGGGGCCGTGCAACCACCCCTGGCGTCTTCCCCTTGGGGCGCTGAAGCCAGCAAATCACCTGAGACATCCTCACATTCTGCTCTGAAAACGAAAAACAATGGTAGAGTAAGGGCTCGACCACAAGAAACCTTCCACAAGAAACCCAACCCTGAGACCCCAGGACGTCCATGGATGTCTGGTGTTGGGAACGTCACACCTCCCATAGCAAACCTATCGAACCCCCAGACACCCTCGGGGATGGACAGACCTCCCTTTAGTGAAACGTGGTTTAGTGAAAACGACCTCGGGCCCAAATCTGGCCGGCGCAAGCCTGGAAAATCACGGCCGCGGCGCCCTCTCGAGAACCGAAAACGGACAATTCACTAATCGCCGTGTCAGGGTAGGAGGTCCGTCCACCCCCGACACCCAGGGCACCCTGGAGGCAAGCCGCGTGCTTCTCGGCATGGGCCTCCACTGCATACGGATGGCACACCAGGGGTGCACGCAGCTGCCGGTCGGGGCCCACGCGCTGGCGCCACGATGTGCACCCAAAACACCCACAGGAGACACGATGCGCGCGCTTGCTCGTGCACTGCACCAGCTTCGGTGGCAACCCACGGGGAGCCCCCCCATACCATCTTGTCGGCTCTTGCGAGTCGATAGCCGACGCCAAATCGACGCAAGTCGACGCCCGTCGGCGCTGAATCGGCGCTATGCCATCGACTCTCGGACGCTAAACGATGCGAATCGACGCGAAAGACAGACTTACGAAGGTACACAAGGCTCCCATGCTTTACTGTCGAAACCAACGAAGCAACTTTGGTCACTTTGCGCAGTCACCAAGCACACGTCCGAGCATGCGCTCACGGGCGACAGCGAGAGCACGGGGAACACCAAGTTACCTGCCACGCAGCAGCAAATGAGACCAGCAGCGGGCACTAGCGGGGCGATCACGTAACCCTGCCAGCCGGACTGGCCCCTGCGCACCTCCTTTGACTCGGCGGCGCGCAGATGGGGGCAGGGGGAGGGGTAAGGGCTTCTTCTTAGAAGGAGGCTGCTTCTGAGGAAAGTGCCGGCCTTACATCTACAGACAGGGCCCGCGACTGCTAAGAAGCAGGGGTGCTTCTAAGACGCCTTCCCCCACCCCGACCCCGATCTGCGCGTGGCCGACCGACGCCCTGTAGACAAAGCCCTGGTAGGAATAACACCGCCTCCAAACGCGAGCCCCATCCGCGCCGCATGGACGTACAGGGCAGTGTTTAATACATCGGATTTTAATATATAAATATGTATACGTATATATATATATGTATATAGATATATGTATATGTATGTAAATGTATATATATATAGATATATACATATATAAATATTTAATAATGATTGATGTATGAATAAATTCATACATGAACTCATCGTTGTTTTTAATACTACATCCCTGCATGTTCTATACATGATCCGCACGCGGAGCATGTATTAAAAACGGCACTGTATGCGTGCTGGGCCGCGCGGCTCGCGCGACGCTGCACCCCAGGTGCCGATGTTGGACCAGCGCAGAAAAGCATCCGTCGAAGAAGAGCACCTTCACGGTGTTCGAGCGGTCGCGAAATCCGCGGACCCTCAAGTGAGCGTTTTTTTTAATGCGGCGTTTCGACATTGGGCGGAAGGGTGGGGGGTGGGGGGGGGGTCTGGCTCCAGACCTCTGCTTAGTGCGACTGTTTGCAAGAGTGCTGCATCTGGGGGAAACCCCACCCGCTAGAAACAGGCGCCAAAAAACAGCCAAGATCTACTCCATGGGGTGGGGAGGGGAGGGTTGGAGGCCCGCGCCGATCGGCAAAACAATACATAACAGAAACCATTACCAACGCCAGTCTGTTCCACCCCCTCCGAAAAAGCGCATCCGGCAGCAGCAGTGGCCTTCTCCGTGTGGCGACGCCGGCCGATGCCCCAGCACCCCTTTTCTGCACGGCTGCTCGGGCGCTCGCCCAGAGCCTGCAACTCCAACTGGTATGCGACAGGTCGTGCAGATTCGCCTCCTTCCTTTCCCCCCACCCCTCCTGGTCCGTGTGTGCCCCTCCTCTCTCCAGGGAAAGGGTGGGCGGAGGACTGCCGCGGATCTGGACATTCAAAGTCGTCCGCATCCGAAAGACGTCGGCGACAGCACGGTGCAACAATTTGCCACGGAGGGCCCCCGTGGCTTATCGGCCCCACAGGGCCACGGTAGCAAACGCCCGCGGCACACAGAAAAATTAGACTCTGCAGGCGCGGTGGCGCGTGGCCGTGTGCACGAGGGCCTGGTGAGACAAAATAGGCAGAGGGCACCCGCACACCACCACCGTGCCCGACAATCAGCACCATGCTGTGCTTGCATGGTGCAAAATACCTCCCCCTCGGGCAATCCCGATGCGAGTCCTGCCCTGGCAGGTGTTATCTG